ATCTCTTCGTTATTCAGGACATCCCGTTACTGCTATTTGCAAGCTTCCATTAGGCGTGCGATTTTTTTCATGTTTGTTTACGTTTCAAACGTTCAGGTTTTTGACCGGAAAACGTTAACGTTTTGAGCAAGCCAATCAACGTTTGGCGGTGTGTTCAATGAAACTTTGCTAATATCGTGGCAAATGTTGATTGGCTTGCTCAAAACGTTAACGTTTTCCGGTCAAAAACCTGAACGTTTGAAACGTAAACAAACATGAAAAAAATCGCACGCCTAATGGAAGCTTGCAAATAGCAGTATGTAGCATAAAATTCAAGACTGATGCTTCTTATCCAATCATGTACTATTAATCTTAAACGTATTTTTACTGGATATTTTTATCGGTTGTGATAAAAAAAACAGCTCACAACATGGAGTCAACAACATAAAAACATGGCGGTACTCGTGTAGGAAGCGGAAGACCTTTATTATCACCAAATTCGTTTAAGAAAGGCGAGGATAAACGAATATTGTACAAAGAAAAGTGGCACTCCCACCACCGAAGAATTGCTTTAGAGTAGAGATTACGGTACACGAAAGCTGGAAAAAGACGAAAACATTATACGAATACAAGGGTGACACCGCATTTGCCAAGCACTTGTTGTCATTGGAACTGAAGAGACAAAACAAGTATGTAAATGATTTAATGATCAGATCTGTTTATTGTTTTTAAAATTGTTTTGCATTATACAGCAAAATGTTAATCGTTGTTTGAATATTCGCTTGCATTTTTAATAAGGATCGGCAGGAATACGCGAACCAAAGGCAAAGGAAAGCAACGAGATGCGAAGTCGAAGCCAAAGGCCATGATTGAAGAGATTGACGTAAATATGGACAGTGAACAACGTAAGTCTTACCTCTACATGACTATTGTAAGGAACTAGAAAGAATATATAGCATTTGTTTTAATTTCTCGATGTATTTTGTTTTTATTCACCTAATTGGCTAATAATAGTACTATATTTTACTTCTGCAGTTGATGTGCCCCCTATGTTTTCTTCGACACCAATAAAATCGAAACCTCTAGAGAAGACAACTGAGTTACATCTTAGTATTGATTCCAGCGAGTAAGCCAACTAATGCAATTTAATTTAAATATTAAGATTAGAGTATATGTGTGTGTGATCATAATTCAATTAATTTATGATGGTGAATATCATTGTACAGTATTAAATGTATTTTGTACATTACACTTATTTATAGATCAGAAGAAGATGATATACTAAACATTACCAGTTTATCACAATCTTCGGATAACCTGAATCAAAGTTACAGGATTTTAGATGACACAGTATCTGTACATCGCTCATCACCATCGGGGAGCAGTTCAAGTGATGTGGGCAGTGATTCACACCTGAATTCATTATCTGAATGTTCATTGAGTGATGAAGACAGTGATGGAAATAGTGATAAAGACAGTGATGAAAATATAACGTGAGTCATATAGTATTGTAAGTTTTGTTTACACTACTAGCCTTGACCTGGCATTGGCCTACATTTTGACAGAGTGAAAACAGACCTTGGCCTAGCCTTGGCCTGACCTAGGCCAATAAATCTGGGCTCACTACAACTGGTGGCCTAGTCCTGGCCTAGGCCTGTGGAAATGTAAACACTTTCAGCCCTGGCCTGGGCATTATTTCCGTGGCAACGTGTTCCTGCAGTGAGAGATTAGCGGCCACCAATGGACAATGTCACAACACATAAAAATACACAAAATTAATTACAAAAGTCTAGGCCAAAGTGATCCAGTCTAAAAAAAAACACAGTGTAATGGTGTAAACACACCACATTTACCTTGGTCCGGCCAAGGTTAGGCCAAGGCTTGTAGTGTAAACACAACTGTAGTTTGTGTGGATGAAAATCAATGAACCTCAAAAACTCAACATACTGGTAGTAATTAAGCTGTTAATTTATAACCAGATGGACCTATGACTTAAATTTTTAATGACTTAAATTTTTATAAAAATGTCAATGCTGTGTCTGTTAAGGTTGCTTTCCATCCTAAATTATTAAAAATTACTTTTACCTCTGTAAAAATCTTTGTGGTGCATGTCTGAGCTTACTATAATTCATTATACATAGCTCTCATGGTGGTTATGTAATTGAATAAATTGTTATCTATTGAATATATTGGAAAGTGAACTGTGAGGAGACCACTTCTAAGGCTATGCAATGAAACAAAGCTTATATACATGCACTGAAAATTTTATATAGAAAAATGTCTGTTAATTAAAATAAGGGTAATAATTCTAGCCATTGTTGGAAACAGGATAAAATGTGCTGGTTGGATGGGGCTTAGTAAACGACAACTATTTCACTGAAATGTTTGTCATTTTGCAGGTTCTTTGAAATTGAAGAGGAAGATGAGAATGGTGAAACATCTGAGTCAACATCTGACATACTGGTGCAACCACCTCCCCTCCCCTCTGATATTTGTGAATCATCTACATTTGATAATTATTTTGTATCTGAGCAACCCAGGCAGTCTCTGCCAAAAACATTTTTGGCCCCCAATGTTAAACCAAGATCCCATGAACTGAATAGGGAAGAACATAATGTAAAGCACAAAGAGCAGATTAAACTTGCTAAATCGATCAAAATAATTTGCACGCTAGATTTGTTGCTTCAGAACTTTCAAGAGAAATGCAGGAATCCAACATGCAACGACAAAGTGTATACAAAGCACACTTTAATTGGCACATGTGTACTGATTGAGTGGACATGCCATAGTGGTCATGCCGGGAAATTCTACTCTTCTTACGATTGTAATTGGATTGCTGCCACAAGTCTGCAAACTGCAGCATCCATTTTGTTATCAGGAAACAATTTTTATAAAATGGAGAAGTTTGCCAGATTCTTAGGGTTGTCATTTATTTCAAGTTCAACATTCTTTCCTTTCCAAAGGCTTTATTGTTTACCAGTTATAAATGAGTGGTGGGAATAGCATAAAGGTTTTCTGCAGAACAAACTGAGAGGGAAGAAAATTGTGGTGTCTGGGGATGGTCAGTGTGACTCTCCAGGCTACTCAGCTAAGAACATGTGCTATTTTCTGATGGAGACGGAAACAGATTACATTATTGACCTTCATATTGCTGATAAAAGGCAAACTGATCTAAAATCAGTCAATATAGAACGTGAAGCTCTGAAAATTATTTTAAACTGATTAAAAAATGTCCTTGATATTGGAGAGGTTGTCACAGATGCTTCATCTAGTATAATCAAGATGTTAGGTGAATATTTAATAATATTTCTTTGGATAATACTAAACTTAATGACCAGTGGAAAAGCCAGCCCAAGAATTTGGTCATGCAATGGAAATTTGTTTTCATTATTAATTTCTTTGGAAATTGATTGTTTTCACAGTCTATTAACATGGAAATATTTGCATTGTATGACCAAAATGTGGGCAGCCTTCACCACTGTTAATGATATGTATTATTAATCAGGATCGTGAAAGTTATCATTTTAATTTTTTTATGTAGAGGATGAATATAAGAATATCTTTCATTCATTGGATGTTTGGCATAAGTCTAAGAATATTAGAAAGGCCATTACCAAGGTTTGTAACAAAACTAATGTGCATGTTGATATGTCAATGACATATTGTTATTTTCTTTTCCATCCATACAATTTTTGCACAAAACCATTACCTCTGGCAGGCGATTTTGTTTTCACTCCTGTTTGTTTGTCTGTCTTTTAATGCGTAAACAATTTTTAAGAAACGCAAAGAATATTCATAGGCGTACGGAACAGGGGGGGCAACTGCCCCCCCCCCCCCCAATTTTGGAAAACCATGGAAATTCAGGCAAATGCTGGAAAAAATTAAGACAATTTGGGCAGATTTATTAGAAAATAGGTTAAATTCAGGCAATTTCATTGCAATCCTCCATAAAAATTTGGGCAAACTTTCAACTGCACCCCCCCCTCCCCTCCCCTGGAAAGCATCAGCCCTGTATGCCTATGAGAATATTCATATGCCAGAGATGAAACCATTACATTTTGGTTAATGTTGGATAAGAATCAGATGAAACATTGACAAAATTCAGCCTTACAGGCATGCTTTTCTGGGTTAAAACAACTGAATAGCTGCTTGAATGTCCTTAATTACACTTATGCAAATTATGGTATGCAAATTACTGTAGGTCATTGAAGAGAGTTAACACATAATGTTGGTTTGTTGCCTAACGTAAGATCAATAGTAGAGCATATTGGCAGAAGTTTGCATTCTGGAGGAGTGCTTTCTAGTTTTAATCTTATAGATTGCAAAATCAAAGGAAAACAAAAAAATTATGGACTCGTGTGATGAAATCATTAAACACTTTTGGTACTGTTGTGAAGTAGCCTCCAAGAATGAAATGACTCAGGATGAAGCTGTGAAGGAAATGAAGGTAAATGTTCAACTCTAAGTTTCTTTCCATAATCATTAAGACATGTGTTCGATACATTGTGCCTTAAAATGATTTGAATAATTGATTGGGTCACATGATATACATTGATATGTAAGCAACGCATTCTGATCGACTGCTGCTACTATACAATATTTAACAAAATATAAAACATTTTCCATGTTGATATACAGTTATATCAACATGAGTGGAATTGGGAAAACGAGAAATTGTATGGAAACACAACACCTGAAGGGCGGAGTGTTTTCATACAATTTCGAGTTTTCCCAACTTCCATGAGTGTTGATATAACTATATATCAATACGGAGAGGGTGTTTTATATTTTTTTATAATATAGCAATGTCAAAAGCCTGAAAGATAAGAAAAATTTCCGTGTTTACAAGCAGCAGAAAATTTCCTGTGTTGACATTGAGTTATATCAACATGGCTCTTAGCCAATCAGCGTTCAGAATTTACAAATGCTATACTATATAATTTTGTTTGCAGGATAAGTGGTTTGGTCTGCTTCATCATGTGCGTAATACACATTCCTGGCTAGGAGGAAGATGTGGACATGGAGAGTATGGGAGAGAGGAGGATGTGGAATGGTTTGATGAGAGAGAGGAGGTATTCAAGACTCTTCAGAAAATCATCAACAATCCAAAACTACTTGACACCTTCAGATTCTATACTCGTTTCGGATAAAAAAAATGCATTACTTTTTTAGTTTACTCTGTCTAATGTCAGACGATTTTACTTGTCAATGGGAGAGTTTTGCACTTTAATGGATTAAACTGCTTTTATTATGGCATTACAAGGTATTACACAGATTTTTTCTATTTGCCTATTTTAGGCACACAGGTAGCATAGAATGTGCTAATAATTTGTCACTGGCATACTGTCCAAAGAGATGTTCTTTTAAGTAAATAGTATTTTTCGAGCTTCCTGATTTATACAGCCAACAGTAAGTCAATGATAAGCAATTTAATGTCTTGACATGGTAGAAATAGTTTGTTGCATCTGCTGATGTTACAGGTTTCCAGTTACTGCCAGAAAACAGTTAGCTGCTATTGACTGGAATTGCCATAAGGACTTACCTGCAAACGAATTAGATTCTCGTCCTGGAGAGGTGATGGTAAGCCAAAAGTACAACCAAAGAATGAAATCATGGGACTCGAAGATCATTAAAAAAGCAAAGGACTATGCATATGTTACCTTGATGGTGGCAAAAATACTTAACAGTAGGATGGCTGACAAAAAGAGTGTGGAACGGAAAGTTCATATATACCACATATCTCAATGTTCTCGATATCCCATATATACACCAGTTGGAGATGGATAATGCCTTCTAATGCATGTCACCACACATGATGGGGCCACTTTTCTGTTTCCTTTACCTAAATATCCATATGTATCTAAAATATAATTTCGGTATGCCTGCTTTCTAAATGCCCTGGTGCTATTATCACGTGGGTCATTCCGGATATCACCAACATTTCGGCTGCTAAGCAACAAAAATTCTGGGTCAAGACATAGTTTTCTAAATCTTCTTGTGTTTGTAACACACTTCTTGTGCTTACAGCACTTGTTTTCAATTGCCTGGGGCATGATAAAGCAATGATCACATCTGCACCAATCAGGAACAGGTTCCTGTCTTGCATTGCTGTTTGATAGGGATGATGCTTCCTGGATATTCCTCATCACCATCATACATTACAATCATCATGCTATGAATATAATCCATACTGCCAACCCCCTTTTGGAGGACACACGTTGCAAGCTGTTTTGAAGCCACTGAGCCTAAGGGGGTTCACTGTGGCAAAGCACAAGTTTCATCCTCAAGCCCTAGTAGAGTTGCCCTAAAAACTGTCATAGTACCCTTTGCTAACGATTCAGGGGGTAATCTTGGGAACAGTTCTTTTAGATTCTGGTAGTGAAACAACCCTCATTAGGTCTGGATTTGCCAAACAATTAGGGGTTCAAGGTCAAAGGCAAAATCTCACTGTTGATACTGTTGGAGGAGTGCGGACCACCCTCAAATCTCAGCGTGTTTGTGTACCATTTGCACCAGCGGTCACTGATATTAATGTTTATGCATGGACTATGAAAAATATATGCGAACAGGTGCAGTCGGTTGATTGGACGGAGATAAAGAAACAATATGAACATTTGTGTAATGTTCCAGTCATGTCGGCAGGAGAAACAGCAGTGGATGTGTTGTTTGGACTGGATGCAGACGGGAAAGCATGGTCAGCCATGTGCAGAGTTAACCCCACTTGGTTTGGTCATTTCGGGTCCAGTGCCAACCACTACCAAACCAATGAAACATATCTTACGTGTCCATGTGGTAGATGGTGAGGAAGATGCTAATCACCAGTTGCAAAAGTTATGGGAGATAGACAGTTTCGGTGTTCATGTCGAGGCAACCACATACACGCGTAGTGAACAGCGAGCCGTTGATATAATGAATGAAACATGTCATCGAGTGGAGTCGGGTTATGAGCTGGGACTGCTATGGAAAGCTGACAGACCGCCACTGCCTAACATTTTCAAGTCAGCACTTAGCCGCCCGGAGTCGGTGGAACGCCGTTTGCAGAAGGATCCCAAGTTAGCAGACGGTTATTGCAAAGCCATCGATGCATATGTTTGCACGAAAGTTGTCGCCTGAGGAATTTGCCATGGACGGAGAGCAATGGCTACTGCCACATCACCCCGTAATCAATTCGCACAAACCACTGCCAAGAGTTGTTTTCGATTCCGCTGCCAAACACGACGGTGTTTGTCTCAACGACTGCCTTGAGACGGGGCCAAGTCTTCACAATGATCTTCCGGGCATTCTGTTACGATTTCGTGAAAGGCCCATCGCACTTGTGGGAGACGTATCAGATATGCTTTGCCATGTTCTCGTCGAGGAGGACCGCATGTATCACCGTTACTTGTGGCGCGACATGGATTCAACAAGACCGCCAGACGTTTATGAAATGAACTGTTTGGTATTTGGTGACAAGTCCTCACCCTGTGAAGCGAATTTCGCAGTTATCCGTATGACGGAAGACAACCAGGATCAATGGCCAGAAGCTGCAGCCACAGTCCAGCGAGACATCTTTGTGGACGACTTCTACAGTTCCTGCAATGATGTGCCGCAGGCAGTATCCTTGAGAGCTGATGTCTCATCCCTGATGGCTAAGGGTGGTTTTCCTATGCGAAAGTGGCTATCCTCTTCACCGTAAGTGCTGGCAACGATACCGGAAACCGAACGGAGTATCTCGAATGAAAACTTACAGCAAGGTGAGTTGCCAACTGGTCGAGCATTGGGAGTTCGGTGGGATGCACGATCAGACACTCTAGGACTCACTTATGCACATGTTGAACGTCCATCCACCCAGTTGACCAAACGCGGTATTCTAGCCAAATTAGCTGGCCTATATGATCCACTGGGATGGTTGAGTCCATTTACGGTACGTGCAAAAATCACCCTGCAACGCACATGGTCCAGAGGACTAGATTGGGATGAACCCTTGCCAGCCGACATCGCATCTGAGTGGGTTAAGTGGGAATCCGAGGTGGCAGCCCTAAAGGCTTTCGCAGTACCATGGTACATTTACAGTCTGTCATCAAAAACATTGACGAGAGAGCTTGTGGTTTTCTGTGACGCCTCGGAAGATGCCTGCGCAGCTGTCGCCTACATGCGTGCAGTACTTGTGGACAGTGAAGTCATATGTCACCTAGTCATGGAGAAGACACGCCTCATGCCATTGAAAACTCTCCATTCCCAGAGGAGAGCTTGATGGGTTGTCAGCTAGCTGTGCGTCTCGCAAAAACCATCTGCGACCAGTTAGGGTTGAGTATGCTTCATGTTACATACTTATCCGATTCAACCACGGCGATATGGTGGATCCACGGAGAGCCGCGAAATTTCCAACCATTTGTTGCGAACCGAGTAGCCGAAGTGATTTCAGAGAGTGATCCCGGACAATGGCATCACGTAAGAACGGATTTGAATGTTGCTGACATTGCAACGAGGGGAGTCCGCCGCCAACGACCTTAAGCCAGAATCACGATGGATAAATGGCCCAGATTTCCTAAAGTCCGATAAGTCAGAGTGGCCCATCGATGATATTCCTGGCCCACCTTCTCCAACCGCCCAGAGGGAGATGAAGAAGAAAGTGCTAGGAGCAAAGGTGGTTGTGCCAAAGCTTCTTGATCCAGCCAGCTATTCCAACTGGCTGAAGCTTGTTCGCGTTACAGCATGGATTCTGTGGTTCTGTCATAACCTGCGTAAGAAAGATCGGCGGAACGCAGAAGTTCTAAGTGTCGAAGAATTGGAGGAAGCTGAGCTGTATTGGATCAAGTCTGCACAACAAGATCGTTTTGGAGTTGAAATCGAGTCATTGTCGAAAGGTCATCCTGCCGCGCAAGCTAGTTGGATCGCAGATCTTAATCCACAGTTGGTGAATGGAATTTTACGTGTTGGAGGGCGTATTGACAAAGCCGAACTGCCATGGGAAGCAAAGCATCCCATCATATTAGATCACGGACACGACATCACTCGTCTGATTGTCATCCATTACCATCGGAAACTGATCCACGCCGGAGTTGAGCACGTATTCAACCATATACGCGAGAAGTATTGGATTCTACGCGGCCGTTCGGAAGTCAAGAATTGCACCGTCAAATGCCCATTATGTCACCGACGTCGCATCCAGCCCCTGACACAGAGAATGAGCAGCCTACCATCTATATGCCTTGCCGGTGTTAGTATCCCATTCCAGAATGTCGGACTGGATTATGCAGGACCATTTTCTGTCCGTATTGGTTGTAACCGAATCGAGAAGCATTACATTTGCCTGTTTACGTGTATGCACATGCGTGCCGTGCACCTCGAAGTAGCCCACAGCCTTGAGGCAGACTCGTTCATAATGGCCTTACGACGTTTCCTAGCTTGGCGTGGAAACCTGGCCCGCATTTTGAGCGACAACGGTACCAATTTTGACGGCGCTGAGCGTGAGTTACGAGAATCCGTTCTTGAAATCGATCAAAAATGAGTCGCCGACGAACTTAGTGCACAAGGCGTACAATGGATTTTCATTCCACCTGCTGCTCCCTGGTTTGGTGGAGCTTGGGAGTCTTTAGTTAAGTCCACAAAAAGAGCCATGAAAGCGATTATGGGTAACGTCGTCACGGTGGACGAAGTTTTTCTTACAGTAGTCGCGGAAGTCGAGTCTCTTCTAAATTCTCGGCCACTTGTGTATGGAGAAAGCAGCACGTCAGCGACAGATGTGAGTGTTCTAACACCAAATCATTTTCTTGACGGACGCGCAAGTGCTAATCTAACACCGGGCGAATTCATCAAGCGAGATATGTCTTTACGTCGTCGATGGAGACACAGCCAGTTTCTAGCCGACCAGTTCTGGCGACGGTGGAGGCAGGAGTATGTGCCGCATTTGATTAAACGCAGCAAATGTGGCGTACGATACAGCGAAATCTTCGGCGAGGAGACCTAGTACTTATCGTGGAGGATAACATTCCGAGAGGTCAGTGCCATCTAGGACGGGTTGTAGCGCCGATCGCAAGTGCGGACAGACTCGTGAGATCAGCTGAAATTGTGACAAAAGCCGGAACCTACGTTCGTCCAGTTGGAAAGTTAGCGTTGCTGGAAGCCCATCACGAAGAAGAGTGACGTTTCCCCCGGGTTCACGCCACGGGTGGGGGTGTTTTGAACTTGGACCTTCATTATGAACGTGCATGCATAAATTTAAGTTAATGTTATTTATGTCATCGCCACGCGGGACATCGCGCGTGTGAACACATTGTTTTTTGAGAGACAAAACAAAATATGCTTTTGAGATTTATAAGCGAAGTTGCAAGCCAATAAAGATATCTTTTCATTGTTGTTAACATTGCATTCCTGTCAAGCCGCCGTCTAAAACACTTGTAATTATAAGACTACTGATCTCCTTTCTATTGTTTGCGTGCTTTCTTTGCTAAGTTTCTCGGCATTTTCGAGCAAGATTGTTCGCTTTTCTGTTTCTCGCGTTTTGTTTGTGTATATCGGTAGTTTGTACATGATTAGCCAGTCCTTCTTGTATTCTTAATTTTTCTCAAGAATGTGTCCCCGAGTTGTGATTTATTTAATTTTCTTTTATGCGGTTTTGCCCATGCAATTAAAACGAGTTCATGCATGGCTTGTTCTGCTTCATTTGGATGCGTTGTTTCATATTTTACCGTCGCATTGGTGTTGTTCCGTTCCTTTACTTGTGCATCTGGCAAGCCTAACAGTATATTCCTATTCACATGTATGTATCATTTGTTTCTTCGCACATATTTGGCCGATTTTGCGTTGAATTCTGTTTTCCTACAATGAGATGTTTATTCAGTTTGTTTGCTCATGCAGAAATGATTGGCGTTGAGTTATATTTTCCTGCATTGAGATGTTTATTCAATTTGTTTGCTCATGCAGATGTTATTGGCCTTGAGTTATATTTTCCTGCATTGAGATGTTTATTCAATTTGTTTCCTCATGCAGATGTTATTGGCTTTGAGTTATATTTTCCTGTATTGAGATGTTTATTCTATTTGTTTCCTCATGCAGATGTTATTGCCTTTGAGTTATATTTTCCTGCACTGAAATGTTTATTCCATTTGCTCATGCAGATGTTATTGGCCTTGAGTTATATTTTCCTGCATTGAGATGTTTATTCAATTTGTTTCCTCATGTAGATGTTATTAACAAGGGGGAATTTCGTTCTCGACCTATCAGCGCTTTTGTTTACATTCCCCCCCTAAGCCAATCAGAATGCGTAAAATGCTTCATCACATGAAATTTGTAAACAAAAATATGGGGTTACTTCAGAGCTTTTCTGCAAGCGGTTTTTTGTTTTTTTTCCATGAAATTCATATATGTTGTTCTTAAAAGAATTCTCCTCAACTTCCTCGTGGTGATTTTTTATTAATTGCGTGATTGCGAAGATATGGGTCTTCAAACTTTGCCTTGCGGAAGCTTGAATACCACCCCTCGAATCTGTAGGTTCCGAACGGATTAGCGTTTTTAAAAGCCTTTCGAATCGAGGTTTGAGAGGTTTTATTTTTTAAAAGATACTTTTATCTTCATATTTTCACATTAACTTATTAATATCCTGTGTACCAAGTAAACAGGACATTTCTGGGCCGGGACAAGTTGACATGTCGATTTCTTGCTAAACAGCGGCCAGGTCAATATGGCGAATATCTAAATACAGGGAATTTTTAAAATTTGTTGGTATAAATGGGCTAAAGAAACTCATCTATGGACCTTCAAACTTATGCCAAGTATTTATTTGATTGATTAGCTCAATAACTGTTTCTTGGCTCGTTTTTCGTCGATTTCCGCATTTAGTCGAGCTTTATAGTTGACTTCAGAATATCACTGTTGCAGCCTGTGGACATGAATATTTTCGTTTGTTTAACCATAACACTTGTCTTTGCAATGTTGACATTATTGACACTAGCACACACGTGACTAGAAAGTTAGTTAAGTATTTTAGAAGCACGAGGCTAGGGAACCGGGAAGTAATTGGATACATACTATGCTGTTTGTACAAGTTGTTTGATATCTATTGTTATACTTAAAAGTGCTTGATATTGATACAAAACCACGAACATTACATTGGCGACGAGGTAAACAAACAAACAAACAAAAAAACAGCTATCGTTTATCAATACAAACGATTTTGAAATCTCTAGTTTACGAATAC